AGGATGATATACACAATTTAAACAGATCAATTTCAAGCAAAGAAATAGAGGATGCCATCAGAAGTCTACCAACAAAGAAAAGCCCAGGACTGGATGGATACACAACTGAGTTCTACAGGACCTTTAAAGAAGAACTAACACCAATACTTCTCAAACTCTTTCAAGCCTATGTCTTTTGATTGGTGAGTTTAAGCCATTAACATTTAGGGTTATTATTGAGAGGCCAATATCATCCTGATTCCAAAACCAGACAAAGATACATCAAAGAAAGAAAACTTCAGACCAATATCTCTAAAGAATATAGATGAAAAAAATTCTCAATAAAATCCTGGTAAATTGAATACGAAAACATATCAAAAATGTAGTGCATCACTATCAAGTAGGGTTCATCCCAGGAATGCAAGGTTGGTTCAACATATAGAAATCAATAAATGTAATTCATCACATCAATAGACTCAGTTAAAAATCATATGATCATCTCAATATATGCTGAGAAAGCATTTGATAAAATACAGTATCCCTTCATGTTCAAAATGCTTGAAAAGCTAGGGATAAAAGGAACACACCTCAACATTGTAAAGGCAGTCTAGGCTAAGCCCCAGGCCAACATCATTCTAAATGGAGAAAAATTGAAATCATTCCCTCTAAAAACTGGAACAAGATAGGGATGCCCTCTGTCACCACTTTATTTAACATAGTTTTTGAACTTTTACCCGGGGCAAAAGGCCGGTTAAAAAAATTTAAAGGGATACGGATAGGAAAAGAAGAACTCAAATTATCACTTTTTGCAGATGATATGATTCTATACCTAGAAGACCCAAAACATTCCACCAGAAATCTCCTAGAATAAATTAATTCAGCAAAGTAATTGGATATAAAATCGACACCCATAAATCAAAGGCATTTCTATACATCAGTGACAAAACTGCTGAAAGTGAAACTAAGAAAACTTCCCAATTTACAATAGCCTCAAAAAATAAAATAAATAAAATACTTGGGAATCAACTTAATGAAAGAGGTGAAAGACCTCTACAATGAAAACTACAACATGCTAAAGAAAGAAATTAAAGAAGACCTTAGAAGATGGAAAGATCTACCTTGTTCTTGGATAGGCAGAATTAATATTGTCAAAATGATCATACTACCAAAAGCACTATATAGATTCAATGCAATCCCAATCCCAATGGCATTCCTTATAGAAATTTAAAAAAAAGGAATCATGAAATTAATCTGGAAAAATAAGAGGCCCAGAACAGCCAAAGAAATCCTTAGCAAGAAGAATGAAGCTGGTGGCATTAGTACTCCAGACCTAAAACTATACTACAGAGCTATACTACATAACTATACTACATATGGATTTCCAGGTTTTGTAGCACCATTTTTTTTGAAGAGGCTACCTTTTCTCCAATGTATGTTTATGGTGCCTTTGCCTAGCATGAGATAAAAAAAGGAATCATGTGTGTTTGTCTCTTTGACTGTTGTTCTTTTCCACTGATCTTCGTATCTGTTTTTGTGCCAATACCTTGCTGTTTTGTTACTATAGTTCTGTAGTATAATTTAAAGTCTTGTATTGTGATGTCTCCTGCTTCACTTTTTGAGATGTATTTTGTCCTGCTGTTATCCTCAATATCCTTGTGATTCTAATATTAAAAAAAGAAATCATTTTAACTGGTCTTACATTATCACTATTCCATCAGATACTACAAAGGCTGCCACAGAATAGGATGTAGGCATTTAGGGATTCTATGCAGTGCTGTGCATAGATCCAACCTCCTTCTTTCAGACTATGGACAAAAGGTGTTTCTAAAGGCTGGGATCATCTTTGGCTGCCTCCCAAAACACTTCTTGGAACCACTTTCTTCATTTCTGCCAGATTCATTAAAGTTACAACCAACATTTCACCAGAAGCTCAACATCAGCTCTCATGAGTTACTGAAATCCTGGATCAGCCAGGAATGTCTACATCCATTCTGAGCACCTTCCCTAGATGCACAAACTGCTAGTGAGTAACAAGATTTGGAAGGTAAGAACAGAATGTCCTTTGTATAACTTATAGATAATTTACTGCCATAAATGTTACTTTTGATAGTAAATTCAGAAGAGTTTATCACTTTTCAAGTTCACCTCAAGTGCATTTCATGACACCAGATTCCTGCTTTTAAAACAGTAGACTTAAAACAACTTAGTTGCTTAGTTGTATGGGATTTATCTTTTCCAAGGTTTTTTTTTTTAATTTAACATCATTTTTCAGATTAGGTTAATCAGACACGTAAATAAATATCTGCAAACAGAATAAACCTTGAACAACACTCAATAAAATATCAAGGTTGAAAATTATTGACTATCAGCCCACAAAAACTGTGGAGAAAGCAACTGCAATAATGAAATATGAAGACAATGACAGAGAAAGAAGAATCAAATTTTGAAGATTACCAGAAGAGGCAAGAAATTATGGTCTTAAATTGCCAGTAAAACTCAAAAGGACAATGTCTGATGCTTCAGTTGTTTTCACCAATAGGAGACAACTTTTAAAACTGTGGATCAAGCTGAACACAGTGATGCATGCCTCTAATCCCATCAACTCAGGAGGCTGACACAGGAAGATCACAAGTTTGAGGCCAGCCTGGGCAATTTAGTAAGACCCTGTCTTAAATTTTTTAAAAATAAATAAAAAGGGATGGGGATGTAGCTCAGTAGTAAAGTGACACTAGTATCTATCCCAGTACTACATCCTTTCCCCCCCACACACAAAAAAAGGAAAAAAAGAAGCAACCAAATAACTCAAGTGTCATTGTTCATTGTCTGATTTTTGAAGAAAATGTTCACGATGCATTTTCTGATTAAATTTATGGTGCATTTTCTGATGAAAAGATCTTAGTAAAATGTTTTAATTGTGAAAATAATTGAAAATTGACAGAATTGTTCTCAAAGAAACAAGATTATTAATGGTATTCTAAATTCTGGAATTTATTATCAAGTGATTGTGATTTGTATAAACCTCTGCCAATACACCCATATATATACAACTTTTCCTATTTGTATATTTCTTGCTTTGTATGAAACTTTTATCAAAATTAAAATTAAAAGTTTTCTTTTTAAAATTTTTATTGGTACATTATAATCATACATAACGGTGGGATTCATTGTTACCTCTTTGTACATGCACATAACAATATAATTTGACCAATTGCATCCCCCAGTGCTCCACCTTTTTCTCCCCCCTTTCCCCTGCTCCCCTCTTCCAGTACCCTTCCTCTATTCTACTGTTTTCATGAGATCTGCCCCTACCTTTCCCCCGCCCCTCTCTCTATGTACATGAAGTGATTTTTGGTCACTTATAAGTGAAGAAAGAGTGACAAATCTATCTCAGTACTGTCTACCGCATGTGAGAGGAGTGTGTTCTTTCCTAGAGCTGCCATAACAAGTATCACAAACTGTGAGGCTTACTTAAAGCAACAAAAATGTATTGTTTCTTAGCTCTGGAAGTTTGGAAGGGAGAAACCAATGTATCAGGAGGGGCCTATTTTCTGTAAGGATCTAGGGAAGAATCTGCTCTATGTCTTAGTCTTAGCTTCCACTGTTTCCCAGCAATGCTTGGTACTTCTTTATTGAGTTGCAACTGCACAATTACAATTTCCACTTCTGTGGTCACAAGGCCACTTGTAAGTCTGTCTTACCTGGCCATCTTCACCTTGAGTGAAGATTTCTTTATATAAAAGTACTAATCATTTTGGATTAAATGCCCACCCTATTCCAGTATGACTTCATTTGAATTGATTTTATCTGCAACGACTAAGGTCACATTCTGAGAACTGCAGGTTAGAACTTAACACATGGAAGCGGAGGGGGAACACATAATTCAATCCATAAAAGGGGCAATTTTGACAATCATTGTAAATGTGCAAACAAGAAGTCTCAAAAATATCCTATTTTGTTATTGTTTTACTTTAATACATAAATGTAAAGTATGATCTTCCCGCTTTTTGTTAAAAAAAAAAGACGTCATTTAAAAGCACTAATACATTATTTTTCCTTTTAGGTCTATTTTTCTTTAACTGATATTTTGACCCACGTCAATACAAAAAATGTTCATTATGTGTGTATTTTCTGAAAATTGTGTTTAAAAAGGACGCCCGGGCCGCAGCCCGCAGGCGCCAACGCAGCAGATACTCAGGGAGCTGAGCAGCATCGCTAGGAACGTCTCAAGGAGGCTGACGCAGCTCAGGAGACCCAATGGCCTAATAGCCTCGCTAGGGGGCGCTGGCTCCCTGGCCCTCTATGAAGCGCTAGCTGCGCCAGAAACCCGCCCAGCTCATCCCGTCCGGAAAAGGTTCCCACCCCTTCTCCTTCTCCGCCCTCTTCACACTGCCAACGAGGCAGGCGGTGATACTCATGCGCAAACACGTCCACCACGCTCCGACCCACAGCGCATGCGTAGCCTGAAATTGCTGCTTTCGCCTTGGGAGTTACCAGTTCCGGCCTCCAAGGGGCGGGGAGAAGGGTGAAAATGCGGCTGTCTGTATCCGCCGCTATCTCCCATGGCCGCGTATTTCGCCGCCTGGGCCTCGGCCCAGAGTCCCGCATCCACCTTTTGCGGAACTTGCTCACGGGACTAGTGCGACACGAACGAATCGAGGCGTCATGGGCGCGTGTGGACGAGATGAGGGGCTACGCTGAGAAGGTGAGGCACTGGAGCGCCGTTCGCCGCGCGTTCTGGCCCGGGGGGAAGAGGTCCTAGTGGGTTTGGGAAAGGAGTGGGATCCCACCCCGACCCCCGGCAACTCCTTCCCAAACTCTGGTCCCCTAGTACTCTGAGCCGAGCTCAGTCCTTCCCCGCCTGAAATGGGTGAGAGCTGTGGATTTAAGAGCGGCTTCAATTAGTTGCTTTGCCTGTGGAGTAAATGGATCGAGGTCCGGCTTGAGAAGAATAAGATGGGCCCCTCATTTCTTGCTCGGGTTGGATGCATGATGTTTTGTCCTCACAGCTCATCGACTATGGAAAGCTGGGAGACACCAACGAACGAGCTATGCGCATGGCTGACTTCTGGCTCACGGTGAGTGCACTTGGTCGGCAGCCCAGTTCTCACTCTGCTCACCGTGGGGGAGGGATCACTGCAGGAAGGAAGACCGGGTGTGTGTAAGTTTAAGTCAGTCACTTATGGGACAGTGTTACGTGAATTAAATTTAGAACCGTGTTTAAGTTAGCTGAACTTCATGCATACGTGCATCTGCACAACTGGTTTAAAACTGACTTTACTAGATCAGAGAGTGGAGAAGATCTATGTGCGTAGATTTAGCCTGCACCTTTAGGAATAGTAGAAAAGTTAAATGTCTCTACAGTTATGCCTGACTTTGCTGTCTTTGGGTAAATTCACTCTCTCTAGGAAAAGGACTTGATTCCAAAGCTGTTTCAAGTACTGGCCCCTCGGTTCCAAGATCAGAATGGGGGCTACACAAGAATGCTGCAGATCCCAAACAGCAGTCAACAGGATCGGGCCAAGATGGCAGT